TGCTGGGAGCTTTTAATTTGAGTAGTAGCTGCTGAATGGAGGGAAGGCTGTGTGAAGCAATCCAGTGCAGCAAAACCAGCTAGGAGTTAGGAGTTATGGTTTATGATGGGTTAGCTGAGTACAAGGGAAATTGAGCACCTAAAGAAGCCTAAGACTTCTGACAGCCTGCTGTATCTTGTGGCTGAAGGCAATTCCTTCATAGGTCAACATTCACTTATGAAATAGTACATCTGCCTTCAGATGCATATTTTTCTTTTTAGACAAGGTTTCCAATTTTACTTGTATGCAGTACAACTGTATAACTGTCTCCAGGTCTTAAAACTTCCTGAGAAGTCTTAGAACCTGTTGACAGCACATGACCTTTTGTAGTCATACCTAATATGACTGTGGATCATGTTGATTTATCAACAGAATACTTGAGTATTATCTAACAAATATATTGCTTCTGGGCGTGAGGTGTTTTTTCTGCTGTTGGGCAGATTGGAAGACTAATCTTTCTAAATGATTCTTGGCATTGTAGCCTTATGCTGTGTCATCATCCTCTTTCTATCTTGGCACTCTTTTAGGGAAAAAAAATCAGCTCTCCAGCTGTAGGCCACAATGTTCTAAGTCACGGTTGGTGTATTTTTAAGACTTCTTCAAATACTCGAGTGGCACAAGTCACATTATTCTGATAGAGGATGTTTCCACAAGAGTTTTGTGAGATACGGGTCAGAAGTTTAACTGCTTTTTTCAGCCTGTCAGAAGAAACTGGTAAGAAGTGGCATCTCCTGTGATTTGGAAGTTGCACAGTACAGAAACTACCAGGCTGTGCTGTCCTGGTGACTGGTGTATTGTCGGTGATCCTAACTTTTGGATTAAGTAAACCAACGCTTGCCACTTCTGTTAGTGCTAATCTAAGTAAAAAAACCTGTGGTCAGACACAGTACGTAGCTTGGCTTGAAGGAAATACTGTGTTGAGAACGACCCTTCTTCATGTTGCTGAGAATGTTTATAGGGTTATGGTGATCTAATCATGTGGAAAGAAGCTATAAGAACGGAAGTAGTGTTTTATTCAGCATGGGTAAAATTAGCAGCCTCTTCAATATGCAATTTTGAGATGCTTTTCTATGTTTGCATATCTAGACATTTTTTTTCGTATGTATACCAAGTATTCCCAAAGAGTTCTTGAAAATGCAAAGCTCAGCAGGTTAGGCTGTCGACCCTATAAATAAGCCAGACTTTGATTTTGCTGTAGACACAATATCATGTAACTAAAAAAAATCCATCCCAAACAAACCAAACTTTTGCTGTCTTCCTACTTAAGTGAAATCTTCCCTTTATTCTCTTTCCTTATGTGGCAATTACAAAAAATACTGAGGTTTTTAACTTGTCATGTTCTAAGACCATTTGCTGAAAAGCAGTATCTGTGATTCTTAACTTCTAAAGCTTAACATAGTGTTACAGAAGACTGCTGTCATGCTGGGTCCAAGGAATGACTCTATTTGGTAACCATTAAAATGCTTTATTTCTGAATTGACACTGTTTCCATCATGGTGTGTTGCTGATTATGCACATTATGCTGTGTAAAAAGCATGGAGCTGTTCAAAATAGAGTTCAAAATGTAGTCATTGGCGTGTCAGAACAGAAGTCTTGCTATGTGTTCGCTTAGGTGAGGAGCGAGCATGGAGATAGAGCTAAGCCTGTCTCCTTAATGAATTCTCACATCGAAAACTGTGTGCCATGTGTGGACCCATAGAGATGATGAAAAACAGTTGTATTAAAATGAAAATTATCTGGTCTTGCTGTTGAGCACCTATTTCTGCAAAGGCTGAAACTCTATTTGCAGAACTATTCCTCCAGAAGAATCACATGAACCTGCTGTAAGGCGCAAGAGCATCCTAATGCATCTGCCAGAGCAATGTTACAGAGTAGACCAAAATACTGCAGTTTACTTTGAGATAGCTAGAAAGAGCCCTCAAAAACGACTAGATCCAGGGGATCTTTTGTTTTCAGGAATCTAATGAATTTTCATTCTTTACTACTTCTGTAACATAAAGCCACAAAACTTGCCAAGCTGGGATTTTTGGTGAGAAGTAAAACGCCCAGTTTCATTCTTGGCATGGTGGGGAATTTGGGAATAATTTAGTCTTGTATTACATAAAACACAGAAATAATTCCATATGTTAGTAGACTTAAAAAAAAAAAAAAAAAAACACACAAAAAAAAACCCAAACCACTAGGCTTTTCATTTGGGCTGTGTCACCAACAAATTTGAATTCATCTCCTGAAATGAGGTGAATTCTGCCATCACTTTCATACTTGGGGGTATGCACTACTCCATCCTGTCCTATGGGAATTCTGGTACTTCTAGGCTTCTTTGCCAAAAACTGGTGAAATGATGCATTGGCAAATTACTATTTTTCTGCAATGCGAATCTGGAGTAATAAGGTTTTATAGTGTCTTCAGTAGGCTGTGAATGTGATATAGAAAGCATGCAACATTTATGAAGGCATAGTTTGAGAACGGAGAGAACATAAATCCATGCAGCTGATGACTTTTACACTTTACATCACTTAAGTTTGAGAGTAAATTCAAATATTTGAATCCATTGTGTGCATGAATAAATTATATTCATAGTATGGCAGCTAATCTGTTTATTTACATACTGTTATTCCACTGTCTGTAGTAATTCAGCCATTCTGTTCTGAGTTTCTAACTCTCTCCTATAAAGCAGCAAAAACAATCTTCCTTGTCTAATTTTCATGTGCAAATTGAACTGGGATCACTAATATTCCATACATGTGTAGTTTGCTTACAGAACTTGTACACATTCATTAGTACGTGTGACTTGGGGCAGTATCTAGTGGTGTTCTGCTTGTACGAACTGTCACATCTCCAAAGTACTTATAATTAAAGCTGCTTAAGAATATTAGAGAAGAATGCCACCTGGAGGTAATAGAAGTGAATAGGTGGCTGAATGGTACAAAAATTCAGCTTTAAGTTGCTTTCAGAGTTCTGCATGACACTGCCTGACAAGGGTGCTGAGAAAGCTGCCTGTCGTGAGGAGTTAAAGAGGGAACTTAGAAAGCGCTCAGAGGGAACAGGCTGAGGTTTTTTTTTTTTTTATTGCTCCTGGAAGAGCAATAGGAAACTCAGCCCCTGGGAGGGGAAGGAGGAAGAGAGGAGCAGAGCGGGACAGAGCTTTCCAAGTGAAAACTGAGGGCCTTCACTGTAATGAAAAATAGGGCTGATGTCCAGATGGTGCCTATAGGCAGAGCAATTACCAAGGGAATGAACTCAACTGCTGCTTTTTTGAACCAAGACGACCAAAATTTGGCTTTTTAAAAGATGATTGCTGTCATTTGGGCAAACCTAGTGAAAGCATGCAAGCTTAGCAGAAGGACGGAAAAGGAAGGGGCAGGCTTAGAGAAACTGTGGGAAGGAGAGGGATGGGATCTCACAGTTTGAACCAGACAAAAAGGAAGCAACTGAGCAGAGCAGCACAAGGGCAAGCCCTGGGAGACAACAGGCAATACCCGTTTGCAAAAAAATGTTTAAAAGTCTGCATGCATCTTGAAGCTCCATTTAATTTCTTGCTCAGGTTGTCAATCACACATTCTGGAGTAATTATAGTTGGTGGTTACTAAAAGAGATAAAATCTTTAATTATTTTGTGGGCAAACAAAGACTGCTTTTAATGACTCGTATACAATTAGACAGGTTGCTAATATGGCAGAAGGAATGCCTAAAGGAATGCCTAGAATCTCCTATGTAAGCTTCACGAAGAGGCTCCATTTTGTGCTTCAGTTATAATCTGTACCTGAAGGGAGATTTCTTTGATTCCTCTTACTGTTACAGGTGATGTCTATGATGTTATAGCAAGGTCTTGTGCCTTTTCTGGTCTCAAGCATCAATCTCCATATACCTTCTCAAAAATGGTAGAAATCATACCAAATGTAGTATTCCCCTTGAACTGTGTACTTTATTCTAAAAAATTTTTAGAATGACTGGTTATGTTGTATAGCTGTGGAGTTTTTAGAACTTGTTGCCTCATCTTAACTTTTAAACTAAACTCTTCCATGCATTGAAACAGGAAAAATAACCTTAGCTTAAAATTAAAGTTTAAATTATTGATGATGGAAACTCATCTTTAAAGTCTCTATCTTAAACTACATTATTTAAATCTTGTTTAAACATTCCGTGTAATGGAATAAGGCCTTAACTAGCAATAAACACCTAAAAGTCATATATATTGCAGATTCACAGGATTCTAAAACAGTTGTCTGAAATAGTTTATAGCAAAAGCAGTATTAATTGTTGTCTAACTTGTAGAAAAATGTCTATTTCCTTACTATTGTGGTTGGTTTAATTTTAATTGACTATTACTGTCTTATTAGAAAAATGTCTACCAAATTACTTTAAGTAAATACATAAAAAGTCCATCCATACAATGCATTGAGAAATTCTACAGAATGCTGGGCTTTCACAGTACAGTTATTAAGACAGGTAGTATTCTCCTGACACTCAGCATGAGTGAAAAGCGATGCTTTCTGTAGGAGTTGGTTAGAACTTCAAATCTGGAAGTTTGGAGATAATTGGTCTTTGTCACACAGCCTGGATTGATACTAATTAGTAAGAAATCCTCCAAAGTCCACTTAATTTAAAAGCTGTTTCCTAATATTAAATTTAAAAGCTGCCATGTTTCTGAAATCATGCACTTGTACTGGAAAGACTTTTAAATTATCTCTACAGTGAAACAAGTGGGATTAGCCACCTAGGGTCAGTGAAAAATTTAGAATGAAAGATGAGGAAAAAAAATGTGAAATGATGTCCTTTTTCAATTTCAAAATAATAAAACTTTAACTTTCTAATTAGAGAAAGGACATTGAGCTAGTTTCTCCATCTCATTTTCATAACAACAACAAAACTTTATTAAATAAAAGGGAACTTCTCTAGTTATATTTCCCAGAGACTTTCAGAAATTCCACTCAAAATATTTTAACTTTTGCACCCCACTTTCTAGAATGATAAATGAGATAGGGAGTACCTTTTAAAAATCAAAAGTAAGATCAGAAAGACTGTCAGTGATGCCCAGAAATGTAGGTAGTTCCTGGGAAAAGCACCATAGACGTATACTGAGAAGGTTACAGATAAATCACAATAACTGTAAAATGTATCCACTACAATGGCTTTTAAGATATATAGCACATTATAGGGAGGGAAAATGATCTTATTTTTATCTCCTTCAAGAACCTGATACTTGACTGAGGGCTGCTTTAGTTCAGGTCCATTCCTATCCTTACAGCTCATGTAGTTTCTTCTGGTCCATGCAGTATTTGGATCTGGAGACTCCTGTTCCTCTAGCAAAGAAGACCAATTCTGAGGTTGAGAGATGGAGTTGGCATCATGTGCAGTCAGAAGATAATCATAGTTATGCATTCCATGTATTTCAAACAGAACAAATTCAGCAGGGACATGCTCCTGAAATCTATTGTTTTCCCATAACTCAAAAATTGACACACCCAAGAATTTTTTATAATATGCCAGAAGAGGACAACCCAGATTTGTAAAGTTGTATTTGACCTGTCGATTGTCCTGCTGTATATGTTTTCTGGCAAGAAAGTGCGAGATGTATATGTTATGGCTGATTGTATAACCAAAATTATTTGCCAGTGCTGCTTCCTGAATGAGGCCTTTGTCACACGCTGTTGTATTTTTTACAATTCTGATGTGCCTTGTAGGTGGGCAGGACACTGCGACAAGTGCAATCAGGGGAGCCACATCAGTACAACCGACTGGGTTGTGAGGGATGTCCACAGTGACAATAGACATCTCTCCATCACATATGCCAGAAGTCAGCGTCTGCAAATTCAGAGAAATACTGCTGCTCCAGAACTATACGCAAGAGGTATTTGGTGTTTCCATCACATGTAAATCCTACTTCTATTACATATGCACTGAAAGCCAGCACATGGGAGTTGCTCAGTGTCACCAAGGGAGCGGATCTTTTGCCTGGTTTGGGCACAAATATGGCTTTCAAAGTCAGACTTTCATGCATTTCAATGTAATAAATCTTGTTCCGGAAGACTCCTGTGAGGATCTCCACAGTGCAGGACTGCTGAGATCTCCAGACAGCTAACTGCAAGTTGAGCTTTCATTTACTGAAGTCATACAGCTGAGTGAAATTGCTAATCACAGGGCTGAGTAAGGTCAGCCACCCTCTTTCTTCAAACAGCATCCCTGTGTTTTTCAAATCTATGCTCTCATTCTTGCCAATGTGCCATAGAAGAGGTGTCTGTCCGGGGTCAAGATTGCAATCTGGGAGCCACTAGCAGTAACAAGTAAGAAACTGCTGTCAGGGAGGGCAGTGCTTTGAAAGGTCTCCAAAGGCATGACAGTCACTTCTTCCGTGATCAAGTCATTGCTGGCCGATATAAGTGAAGTATCTGTTGTCCAGAGGGTGATGAAACCCCTCAAGGCAAGATTCTGGATACTCCAGAATGGCCTTTGGGCAGCAGGTGAAAGGTGGTAGAGCTATGGTTGGACATATGGCTGTTTTCGGTACCATTGTATCTGAAATAGGCCCCTGCTGCCTTCCCTGCCCCATCCTCTCTGCTTCTGTCGATCAGCAGGCCGGTCATGACAAAGGAGATGAAACTGTAGACCCCGAGCAGCACTCCTCACTCTCTTGTATTGGTCTCAACGTGTGTAAAAGTGTAACCCCCGTCCTGTGAAAGGAAGATGTGGCTGTCAGAGACTGAGCGCCTGGTGTCATAAGCAAAAAGGGTCCAGCTGCACTCCTTGCACTGGGGGTCTGCTCTTGCATAGCAGTAATGGGTGTTTGAGAGTTCAGACATGGGAGATGTGAACTCCTGCTGATGGACCCACCTGTTGAGGCTCTTGAAATACATGTAGACCTGGCCGTTGGCCACCATCGAGACCCCGTCCTTGTGCACGAAGGCGAAGGCACTGACAACGGCTTCCTTGGTCTCAAGCTCTTCTGGGATGGAAAGCGGGGAGAGGCTGCTCTCAAAAGTATCTAGGCTGATGAAAACATCCTTCCCCAGGTACATGGCCGCCTTTGGCTCCCCCATGCCGGGGCCATGCCCCTCGCAGGGGTGCTGCAGGACCATGGGGCTGGCGCCGCAATAGCTCACGTGGGTGCCTCTTTCTGGCTTCGTGTCATGGCCGAAATGTATTGAGTATGCCAGCCGTGTGTGGCTGCAACCCAAGCCGCCCCTGTGGCCCTACAAGTAAAGCCACAGACACAGCTCAGCCACCAGCGCCCGCCAGGGGTGAGGTGCCATGTCCCTGGTGGCTGAGGGCCAGTGGTGGCAGTTGGGGCAGAGCTGGGGCTTCTGCTGGTGAGGCTACGTGGCGGTTAGCTCGCTCCCCCGGGTCTGAGAGGCTTTTCTGCTAACGGTGGCGGAGGGCAAAGGCGGAGGAAGTGATGGCGGCTGCCCTGGGTGCTGCCGAGGGGCTGGCTGCAGCGCCTGGCTGGCCTGGGGTGGGGATGTGCTGAGGGGAGGAATTTTAAAATGAAGAGGAGCTGCCTTCAAAGGGGTCTTCTTCAGCAGG